TTTGTAATCTACTTGTAACTTTTGCTGTGCTTATGCCAAGGGCTCTTTTTATTCAAGCTGCTTTTTGTCTTCATCTTTGGAGAACTTTACATCAGTACAAGTTAGTCTATCTCGTTCTAAAATTTTATCTTTGATAGATATTCCTAAATTGCTCATACAGAAAGAGTGCCCCAACTTATCCCCTCATCAAGTGTCTGAGGGTGCTTTGTTCTTCCCACTTTTATTGACATTAGATATTTTTCCTAATTTAAACCAAGATGATAGGTACGTTAACTTGAATTTATTTTACTGTCAGTGAGATCAAGAATCTTTTCATCTGATTTACTGGTGATTTTTCTATCTATCTTTCCACTGGATCAGTTCCTATTCCTTCATAAGAACTTCTTTATGTTAAGGAAATAAGCCCTTGTTTTTAAATCATCTTTCACTTTGTGTATGGTTCTTTCACTTTGTGTATGGTCTTACTTTTTGTCATACAGGAATTTTAATTTTAACTATTTAAATTTATAAGTTTTTTCTCATTGATTTGAATTATTTGTCTTGAATTGAAAGAACTTCTGTTTTGCTTTTGCTTTTTAATCAAATTCTTTTGTTTGGTAGCTGAATTACATGGACTGTAATTGGAAGAAATTGAAGTGTCTGGTATTTCTCTCTGAATTGATACACTCTGTTATCTCAGAAGAGTTAATGAAAGCTTTGGGGTTAGAAACATTGAGAGTCCTCTAATGATGTGATGGAAGAAACAGGAGGGAAAACAGGGATGTTAATCAACTACTAAAAGAGAAGCCTTCTCAGGCAGTCTGCTAAGGGCCCCACTTTTTTTCTTCAGGAAACAGTGTTTGATGGTTTACACCCTACCCCGACATTAATTCCTGTATCCCAGAAGCATGGGTGACAGGAGAGTATGAGCAAGGCACGGGACCCGGGATAAAATAGCCGTCCTTAGGGGCACAGCTCATTCGTGTGTGGTATTCCTGGACACCACATCCAGAAATACTGTAGCTTCCTGATTGCCCCAGACCTATTAGAAGGAGATGAGGGGATAAGGACAGAATAGTCTAATGAGTTGAGAATTGCAGATGGGGAGTTAGGAAGGAGAAAAGATGCTGTAGGATTTGGTCTATCCCTCTGATGGGTCTTGTTCCTCATCAGAAGGACACGCAGTAATTGCTGCTGTTATTGTTGCCCAGACCAGGAGGACCTCAGGCCTTCTGTTTGTTCTGCTCACTCTTTGTTTGCTACTTTGGGTTTGTGAGTAGGACTAACTGGAAACAGAGAAGGAGAAAGTCTGAGGTTTTCAGGCTCCCCTTTGGCTCTGTACTCTGCTGCACAATATCAGAAGAATACCCACTTTTTTTGCTCCAAGTCACATTTTCCCATGTTTTCCTATTTCAAGAACCACTGTTCCCCTAGCCAGTAATTTAGGGCAATAACAATATGGCAATCTCTTTCTGAAATGGTATTTCAGCATAATAGAGTGAAGAGGCAGCTCTTCTATCCATCATCTGTTGAAGATGACCTTGACTCGATATCTTTGGCCTTACTATCTGCCTCCTGGACATCCAAGGGCTCCTCTTTCTACATCCTGTATCTCTTGTCACTTTGTCCCAGCTGAGGGTGGAGGCTCTAGAGGCTGAGTCATAGCTCCCAGCAATCTAGCCAATCCCAAAAGCTTTATGTTCCTTTTATCAAACATTATAGGGAGAAAAAATGAAATACTGAGGTTGAGTCCTGCCTCTTGAAATGCAAGGGATACTCTGCATTTGTACTCCTAATAGGCATTCCATCTAGTGTGTAGGTGGACCATTTGGGGCAGGAAGGATGCCATTTCAATAAGGATTGCACTCTGATGTGGAAAGCTCAGGATATGCCCCAACCATTTCTTATCTGTGACTGTGGCCATTGGATTGACCATTCTGGAGAAACCATGATTAAATCTGGAGGAGCCTACTAAGAAAGAATCCCATTCTGCCTTTCATCAACCAGGAGCCTGCACTCAGGATTTTTTTCCAAAACCCTCATGTTGAAATATAAAACCAATAGATATTTCATGGGCTAATGTTTATATTAATAATAACAAAAGTAATTACCGTAAGGAAGAAAAAGCACAGCTAGATGCTTCAGTACTTCATTGGTTCATTCATACAATAGGTGTTTATTCCTTACTACATGTAAGGCTCTATGCTAGAAGTTGGGAATGTATCTAGGATAATAATAGTAACTATAGCTAATAATTATCCATCTCTATACTACCTATTAAGAATTATGCTAAATGCTTCACATGGATTATCTTGTATAATTCTCAAATCAACCTTGTAATTAGGTACTTTTTAAATCTTTACACGAAGGTATGGGGAATGAGATTTAGTGAGGTTAAACAACTCGCCCAGCAGCACACTGTTGCTGAAGATTAAAGCTGCAATACACATCCAGTGTAGTTTCTGCTTTTGTTTACTGTTGTTCCTGTATGAGGCAAAAGAAGTCTCTTCCTTCATGAAGCTTATAGTCTAAATTAGAACACAATTCTCTTCAGATAGATTCTTAATTTGCCTCTGGAGAGACATGGAGTGTCCTCCAGAGAAGGCCTCCCACCCTTGAGCAGGATTTAGGCTAGCCATATGTACTCAGTTGGCGGAAGTTGCTTGATGATATGGACACCCTTTATTTTGTCTAATCACATTCATTTCTCCCCTCTCCCGTGCCCTTCTCCTAGGACCCTTTGCCTTGTCCTTCTGTTGCCCTCTTTCCTCTGAGTGTCCTCCTCTCCACACCTGTTTATTCTCTCTCTCTCTCTCCCATTTAGACAATTCCTAGACTCCCCAAATGCCACTTTTGAAGGACAACATGGAAGGAAGAGAAAATTTCACTGCAATAGAAATGAGCTATTGATGGATGGCCTAGTAAGGCTAGGGGTCCTTCTTTAGCATTCTCTGGCATTTAAGGGACTCAGGATTCCAAAAGCACATCTACACTAGTCTGCTGTCACTAATCTCATTTTTTTCATGATTAACAACCCAGTTCATTATGTTTTCAGCTCACATTAATCTTCTCTTCTGTGAGTTTGGTGATATTTGAAGTCGTTTCCCTCTGTATTTCTCCATCTGGGATCTTTAGAAAAGATAAGTTTGCAGAGCGTCATTTGTTGCTCATGCTGAAAGATGTTGTTGCTCACTGCTGTAAGAGGGATGAGCCTAACCGGTATGGCTCGGTGGATTGAGCACCAGCCTGCGAACCAGAGCTTTACTGGTTTGATTCCCAGTGTAGGGCACATGCCTGGCTTGCAGGCCAGGTCCCCAGCAGGGGGCGTGTGAAATGCAACCACACAGTCATGTTTCTCTCCTCTTTCTCCGTCTCTTCCCCTCTCTAAAAATAAGTAAAATCTTTAAAAAAAAAAAAAAAAGAGGGATGTAGGTTGCTGCATCAGTCCTGAGAGAGAAAACTCTGAGGTCAGGGATGGATTCCCTACACAAGGCAGAAAGCCCCTTCCATGTAGCTCCATGGGGTATTCCACTTGGGATTGAGCTGCAACATAACAACATCAGGAATCACAAGCAATGTTCCCTGGATCCTGACTGTCCTTCTAGAACAGATGGAACTGGAACAGAGCTTTGGAGATAGCAGAAAGAGTTGCGAGATTAATGAGTCAGAACGAAGTCTTTGGCTTGAGTCCTTTCTTTACCACCTACACGCTATTTGACCTTGGGCAAGTCACAAAATCTCTCCCAGATCTGCTTGCCTCCTCTGCAAACTGGCCCCGAAGATGCCTCTCCTCTCCACAGGGTAGAGTGGCTTTGAAGGTTACCTTACATTCTCATCTCTGTTTTTGAGTAAGCTCATAACTTTGCTCATATTACCTAATTTTTGCAATTTCTGAGGCCCCTTCAAACACTTATAAGGGTGGGGCAAAAGTAGGTTGACAGTTGTGAGTACATGAAACAGTTAATTCTTGTATTACTTATTAATTATTGTATTATTTTCCATATGAACAACTGTAAACCTACTTTTGCCCCACCCTGTATTTATTGCTGGAAGGAAATAATAGGTTATTGGGGAAATCTTAGATGCTATTATTTCTTATTTCTAATCTTATATTTTAAAAAGGCTTGGAGAGGCCCTGGTTGAGTAGCTCATTTGGTTAGAGTGTCATGCCAATACGCCAAGGTTGCAGGTTGGCTCTCTGGTCAGGGCACATACAAGAAGCAACCAACGAATGCATAAATATGTGGAACAGATTGGTATTTCTCTCCCCCCTTCCTTACCTCTCTAAAAATCAATTTAAAAAAATTTTAAAAGGCATGGAGGTATGTGTCATATTTAAAGATCTATTTGGGAGGGGGTATGTTGTTTAGAAAACAGAAAGAGAATCCTTTGGAAATTCAGTTAAGGGCATCCCCCCAGGTATAATGTAAAATCAGGAGGTTACAGGAGAGGGAACTCTTTTGGAGATTCTGGGCTGACATCCCTAGAAACATTTTGTTGTGAAGGTTGGAATTTATTCATTCATTTCTTATGTCTATAAGAGAAAATATTCCAAATTGGAATGTCAAAAGCCATGACAGATACTACTATCTATAGTCATTACCTGTGAAATATCATTGTTATTTTTCATTGTAGCCCAAATGCGGGGCTAAATTGCATTAGTGCGTGCTATTGTAGGGAGAAAGGTGTAATTAAAGTTTACTGTTGTAGACATTAGAATGGATTCAGAAGAACCAATAGAGACAAGAGAAACCTGGACCGTTTGCTCTAATTCTGCACAACTAAAAACAAGGCAACATAATTCAGATACGTTTTCATTTATTGACAGTTTTCTTCCCCAGCAACTGGGATTTGAACAGGAGATTCCCATTACGCAGATAAATCCCAGTGGTATTAATGGAAATTACCTGCGTAACCAACTCTCCTGTCCACACAGAATGCCAGGTGCCTGAGAATACTTTTAATTGCAATGTACTTCCCTTTGCAAAAGAGCTAATTGCATCTGTTTCGCTTTCCCTTAGGTATCCAAGCAAGGACAGGAATAATGAAGAGACACATGTGTTAGTGGCAGCCTTTTGAACCACGCAAGAAGGAAATTAACGGTGTGGACAGGGCTGGAACCGTTGCCACGCTTGTTTGTTGGAGTAAATGAGGAATGGGCTTGTGATTATGCGGACATTCCAGCATGAATCTGGTAGACCTGTGGTTAACCCGTTCCCTCTCCATGTGTCTCCTCCTCCAAAGTTTTGTTCTTATGATACTGTGCTTTCATTCTGCCAGTATGTGTCCCAAGGGCTGTCTGTGTTCTTCCTCTGGGGGCTTAAATGTCACCTGCAGCAATGCAAATCTCAAGGAAATACCTAGAGATCTTCCTCCTGAAACAGTCTTATTGTATCTGGACTCCAATCAGATCACGTCTATTCCCAATGAGATTTTTAAGGACCTCCATCAACTGAGAGTTCTCAACCTGTCCAAAAACGGCATTGAGTTTATCGATGAGCATGCCTTCAAAGGAGTAGCTGAAACTTTGCAGACTCTGGACTTGTCTGACAACCGGATTCAAAGTGTGCACAAAAATGCCTTCAATAACCTGAAGGCCAGGGCCAGAATTGCCAATAACCCCTGGCACTGCGACTGTACTCTACAGCAAGTTCTGCGGAGCATGGCGTCCAATCACGAGACGGCCCACAACGTGATCTGCAAGACATCCGTGTTGGATGAACATGCGGGGAGGCCATTTCTCAACGCTGCCAATGATGCTGACCTTTGTAACCTCCCTAAAAAAACTACCGATTATGCCATGCTGGTCACCATGTTTGGCTGGTTCACCATGGTGATCTCATATGTGGTGTATTATGTGAGGCAAAATCAGGAGGATGCCCGCAGACACCTTGAATACTTGAAATCCCTGCCAAGCAGGCAAAAGAAAGCGGATGAACCCGACGACATTAGCACTGTGGTATAGTGTCCAAAGTGACTGGCATTGAGAAAGAAATCTGTGTGCAATTGCAGTAGAATAAGTGGTTTACTTCTCCCATCCATTGTAAACATTTAAAACTTTGTATCTGAGTTTCTTTTGAATTATGCCACTGTTGAACTTTTAACAGATGTGACAACATAACAAATGATTTTAGTTTAGGTGATCCACCTCTCCATTGTACCCCCCGTGGTATATCCCTGAGTCCGCTACTATCTGAACATTAGTTAGCTCCATCTCACTATTTAATAATGAAATTTATTTTTTTAATTTAAAACCAAATAAAAGCTTAACTTTGAACCATGGAAAACAGAGTGACTTATTGGTCAAGAAAACAGTATAGTCATCCCATTGCTTTAAAAAGAGACGAACAACCCTGGTGAACCTACAGAGCTGATAATGAAAGATGTGTTATTAAACCCTACTGTTCTCAGGGGAGCCATAGCTGAATTATTCACCAAGTATCTGTCAGACTTTCGAATACCAACCCTTGGTAAACCCAGGTGATAATACACAGAGCGGTGTCCGGCAGAGGCTTAATCGATCGGGATGCCTCTAAATGTTTGTTATCTGAAAACTAGTGTGTTTAGCTATAAAGGTCTTTTTATAGCTAAACGCACCACTTCTACTTTATTCTAAAAACACAGAAAAGAGAAAGGCAGACCATATTCTGTTCCCAACATTACCTTCTAATGGACAGGGGTGTGTGACCAACATAGAAATAGCTGTGCTAAAAAGCAAGGTCCTCATAGTCACACAACATCAGCTGTGTGTAAGCACTGGGCAAGGCATTTTTATACTATTATGTCTTTAAGCTATTACAACAGGAGGAAAAGCAACAACTGTACCCTATTTAAGTAAGAGGAAACTGCAGGTGAAAGAGGTTCAATGCCCTGCCAGGTAGAAAGTATCAGAAGTTGAATTTGAACAAAATCTTTCTCCAAAATTGAGGTCTTCTCATTATGTTCCTACTGGGTTGGTTTAAAGAGGTATAATCTGCATATTTAAAAATGCACCCATATTAGGTGTACAGTTCTATAAATTTTAACAAACTATTATGTCCCTGATATTGTTCAGAAATAGAGGAAAGATCGGTTTGGGTTGTTTTTTTAAAAAGACTTTATTAATTTTTAGAGAAAGGGGGAGGGAAAGAGAATGAGAGGGAGAGAAATATCAATGTGCGGTTGCCTCTTCATGCACTCTCTACTGGGGACCTGGCCTACAGCCCAGGCATGTGTCCTGACTGGGAATCAAACCAGTAACCCTTTGGTTTGTAGGCCAGCACTCAGTCACTAAGCCATGCCAGCCAGGGCAGGAAAGCTCACTTCTTAAAGGAGAGAATTACAGGGTTTGGGAGGAGAAAGGGCATTAAGCTAACATTACAGTTAATCCTTGAAATTTGGGTGGGATATCATCAGTTGGTGATTTAGCCAAGGGAGGTAGAAGAAGCAGAAGGATAAAAGTGTAGGCAGGTGTTTGGGATGAAGGAGTCTACATAGGGGAGAAGCGAGAGACAAATTGGAGCCATACCATGGGGATTTCAGTTCCAGACTCAGGAATAGGAGTCACTGATTGCATTTATGGAACACTTACTATGCCCCAAGTACTTTTTTGAGATTCTTTTAGTTAATCCTTACACTTACCCTAGGAGGTAGTTTGTGCATGAGGAATCAGAGACATGGGAGTTTTAAGCAATGAATTCAGGACCCTAGAGCTTATAATAGGCAAAGCAGATAAGGAAACCCAATCAGTCAACTCCAGAACCTACAGACCTCTTAACCACCATACTGCGTTACTTTATAGTCGTAGACTTTACTATGGAAAGTTGCTGGTTGCCTAGACTTAGAGGTTTTCAGGCCCCTACATGATGATTTCGTTTAAAAATAACAGAAAAAAATAGTGCTTTGTGGGCTTAAGGAGGAAGGAGGTATCCTTTGCCATTTTGACCCACATCACCTTCTTCAATCCATATCAGGTTACCTTTGGGCCTCCAGGAATCACATTTCTGCCCTTAAAAGGCACTACAGTTTTTAAACATATCAGTTGTCTCTAAAAGGGTTACCAACATGAACCATGAGGGTCAGCCAACCCAAGTCCTGTTGTAGGGCATTCAGAGCCACGTGGCCAGACTACACTGGTGCGCACACTCCAAGGCATGGGCGTTTCATGCCATCCTAGTCTTTCTAAAAACTGTGCAGCCTACTCTAGAAGACTGAGATGTGAAATTCAGGATATGGGCCCCAGAACTCCTGCATTCCAGTGAGAAGAGAGCTGGACTGTCTGCTTTTGCTAACTGGATTTAAAGGCCTACTGGTGAATTTGGAGTTTTGCTGAAGATTTAACGCCCCCTGGAGGACATTATTATAATAGGTCTCTGTGAGTACTACTGTAAAAAGATGCCTACCTGCATACACCCCCTATCTTTCACCTAAAGAATAGGAAAAGCAAGCCTTTGCTGAGATAACCCTTTAAATTTTTAAATAAATTGTATTTATTTCAGTGTGTGAGTCACATTCATTTTAGAAAAACTTTCACGAATTGCATAACCATTCCAGGTTGCTCCTTCTAAAATTTTGCTAATATAAACTTATTTTGCTAATGGCCAATTAGCCAAGTACTATACATAGGAAAGCACTATATACAGTAAGCACTGTATATAGTAAAAATTTCTGGGGAGTGTTATAGTATAGTCCTATTCTTATTCAGATGTGGCAAAGTTAAATTCCCACATTTTAGTTTGTAATTCTCTGCATACATAGAGTTAAGAGATGCCTCCTAGGTTAATAATTATCCTCTTGCTCGATTTTTATATGTAGATTTTCCACTAACAGTGCCATAAGCGCAAATACTTTTTCTGAAATAATAAATCAGATCCATTTCACTATTTAATAAAATTTATTATCTTTTTCATTTAAAATCAATTGAAGGAGAAAATTCTCTTTTTTCTTGAATAAGTAACAGGCTATAGGACTCCTTCATGACCAGAATGAAAGGAAATGCTCTTCTCAGCAGCTTGTACGGATGCTGCACCCCAATGGACCAGCAGCTCATGATGCCAACGAGCAGGGACAGCTTACTGAGGGTCATGGCTATGTAGAAAAAGGCCCAATATGGATGCTCTGATTTTGACCCCAACTTGCTTCTTAATTTTTCAAACCTTTGCAGGTGTTTGAATACATAGAGAACTACCTATTTTAGGACTGTAACGTTTTCCAAATTAATCTCATTATCTAAGGCACATACCTTCTTACTTTCTAAATATTTTAAATAACAACTTCTTTGCTCAACCTTCCCCTTTCATATCCCAACCTCCGCCTTTTAAACTAAAAAAGTACCTGGGGATTTTAATCTAATCACTGACAATGTGCTAATCTCTGAAGCAAGGGAAATCATAAAACATGCCAACCCAACTGGAACATTTTTAAGAAAGGAATAAAAAGTTATGTAATGGAAGATTAAACTTTCAAGAACACGCTGGCAAATCGTACGCACTGATATACAAATTCTGCCAGGTACACACTGTTCTTTTTCAGGTCCTCCTCTGATTACCCACAATAATTCTTGTTCTGACATCAACAAGCATAAGGCAGTCTGGGATGTGGGTAGGTTTTCCTTATTGGCTCAAGACTTTCAAATCATATAGTTAAGTTCTCTCATGTATCTGGCACAGATAAAGAAGGAAAAAGATGCTTAATTAAATGTACTAGAGATAGGCAAAGTCCTGACATTTCAGGACTAGAAGAATCCTAGGGAAAATCTCACCCACTGATTTTATGAGTTTTGAAATGGAAACTCTTGCAGTTTGGGGACTGACACTCATGTCTCCATAGTCCCCATCCAGTGTCCCTCACAATAAACTGTTTCCCAATCTTCAAAGAAACAGATCAGCATAATAATATACACCATGAAAATGCCACTGACTATGGGCAGTCATTTCTCTGTGGATTCAGAAGACATTTAAGATTCCTACATTGTCAATCAGCTGTAATAAAGAACATCCATGACTCTTAAAAGCTGCTTATTTCTCCCAGATATAATGAGAGAATTTGTTTCTTTTTCAAAAAAAAAAAAATAGCCCCTGAATAACATGCTCAACACTGTGCACAGTCTGGTTTTCCAGGGGAGACATGGAGAAAATGACCTTGGTGCAACTTCCTGGGGAGGAAGAGTTGATTAGCATTTGTTACCTCGAGCAGCGATGTAAACCCTGAATGGCCAAGCGCAGTCCTGCTGGCAGTGGGGGAATGAGTGCCCTGAAACCAGGTTCTTCTCCATCTCCAGAGCTCTGTTAACCTGGCTTCCCCAAGTGCTATCACTGATTCAACGAGTTGGCTGGGTCTGACCCAGAAAAGCAAACCAGAGGCCAACTGATTTACAACATATTTGGAAATGCCCTCCTCAGCGCTCTCCCAAAGCTGGATAGGTGAATCAGAATTGAGGGAAAAGGAAGACCTGAATTCCTCCTCCCATGTTTGCCCACACTCATTTTACAGATGGTCACAAACACACCAAATGAATTAGTGGGTCACAGAGACACAGCAGGGGAGATTTCTCAAGGTCTAAGACGTTTTCCTTCCAACCCAGGGAAGAGGGGGATGACAGTGAAAGGAAATCCACTTGTATTTATTGCTCTAACTCTGTCAACATTGAAAGAACCAGAACTAGCATGAATCACTTAAGAAATGTGTGTGTGTGTGTGTGTGTGTGTGTGTGTGTGTGTGTGTGTGTCCAGGTGCACCTTGGAGTAACAGAGAATTGGGTCCTGAAAGGATCGGGAAAAGAGATACTAAGAACACTGAAAACAAAATCTACCTATCAGTAGTTTGATTCATGGGTGGCCCAGGTTTCAAGTTTCTGGGGAAATTATTGGGCTGTCTCCAAGTTTAGTGAAAACATTTATGCCTCTTACTTACAGCTACTGAGTTAATCAAGTTTGTGAGCTATGCTCCTTCTTTGGCTGATGAATATTCTAAATTTTGCTCATTATTTAAAAAAAAAAAGAATCAGTGCATTTACTTTCTTTGCCTGTGGATGCATGAGCATCCAACTGGCAAAAGTTTTCCAGATCCGACCATAAAAGGTAGGCTGCAAAAGAATACATTCGTGGGTCTCCCTGCGGTTAGGACCAGCATTCTATTTTTTGCTTTGAGATTTCATTTATTTTTTTACTCTCAGAAAAGGGTTTGTGAAATAAAAGGCAATCTGAAATCTGGCTGTTGATCTAAAGACTAA